GCGGGGGCAGCCAGGGCAGTGCACTGTTGCCAGCAGACGGCGGCTATCTGCGTACTCAACCCTCCACATGACTGAAATAAGTCTCTGATTTTCATTTTACATGACTGATAAAAGTCTTCGATCTTCTGCACGCATGATCGATGCTCACCTGTGATGGGGTATGCCTTCACTCTTATGCCTTGAATTTCAATTTCAATCGATAAAGAGAGCATTTATTAGACTATATCAATCAAGAACAAACTCAAAAAGCAAAGAAAAAACCCAAACAGGGTAATGAGAGCTGTGAGGAATCTAAGATTAAATTTGTTTTTAGCCAAATAATTATTAAATATATTATAAAAATTATAAATTTAAAAATCGAGGAGAGGAAGAGAAGCAATACTGACAATCATATATCCATCGTTCCCAAAATAAAAGATTACTTCCTTTCAAGAGTGGGGGTGGTATATGGGCCAACGTTGAAATGAGTGGAATGGAATTCGAAGAGCAGCTGTAAGATGCCAACTCTGGATGATGGTGGAGTATATCGAATGCAATATCTAATATCAAAGTTTGTTAGAAAAAGTAAAATAACAAAAATTATATATGTAATATAATATACTAGCTAGCTAGTAAGAAGAAGAATTAATTTAATGTTAGCGTTCTTACCAAAAATTTTCCTAATTATACACTCTTGGAGGATGTAGAAACCAGAGTCTCCATTTCGAGACTCTGGTGGAGTCGCAACGTACAGGTAGCGTGCCATCTCCTCATAAATTGTGCTGTAGGCCAATTGAACTGGGATCTTTCCATCTTCGTCTGGCTTGGCAAGCAAATTATTACGGTCCCTTCCAATGATATCCCTTACTTCCCCAAAATTCCCATTGGAAATGGCATTAATTAATGTCTCATATTCAGACGTCTCAGATTCAGACGTCTCATATTCAGACCCTCCAATATTTCCAGATGTTTGTGTCGTAAAAGTGCCTGTATGTTCAATAAAAACAACACTCTCAGCAGTTCTTCTCTGTATAAAGATTAATATATAGAGAAATTTGTTGAAAATCAAATCTGAACCAATACCTTAAAAAACACAATCCGTACAGCAGTGTCTCCAATAACGGATGCAGAAAAAGGAAAGAGAATAAAAGAAACTAAAACAGATAGAATGGAATAGAATAAAACCTGTTCGCCTTTGTAGGGGGTGCTCAGCAATTTCCTGAGAGACAACTGGGGGTTTGTGCATATTAGCCAATGCATCCCAAACTTCTTTAGCAGAATCCATGTCCTTTATTTTATCGAACATTTCTTCTCCACATGAAATCTTAATGGCATGCACAGCTAACGCACTTTTTTTAATCCACTCCCTCATATTTCCTCCAGCAGGCAACTGGCTTAATTGAACAACGTCCCAAAGATCTTGACCCACTAAATAGTGCCGCATGAAAATGCTCCACCTTTTGTAGTTATTACTTCTAAGAACTTTAGGTACAATCACACTTGCATGTGGAGCAACCATCTCCATCTTCGGACCTATGAAATATTGAAGTAAGTAATTGAAAAGATGAGGATCAATTTAAAATGAATCATCAGTGCAAGTACCAAATCGAAAGAATTGAAAATGCATGGACCAGATTTTAACAAACTGAGACCTTGAGGACCGACTTTTGATTTAGTTAAAAACTAAATAGACTCGAGTGCATAAAATTGAAATTGTTTGATCAGGTTGACTTTCTTTTGAAAATTTTGATGGTTAACCAATTTAAAATGAATTATTTATTCGTTGATTGCGATTAACCAAGATACAGGTACTCCATCCCAAATTATGGTAATTAATCAATATTAATTAAAAATAATTAAGATCTTTAATTAAATTTCAAGAAGTTTGTCTAACCTGTAATTTTAAGTAACAATAAATTTATCATTTGCAATTAATTTACATTAAGAATTATATTAATTGACATTTATTTTAATATCATTAATACATAAATGATTTTAATTAGTTAATTAATTAAATTAAAATCAAAATTTAAGCTTTTCAAGCAAATTAAATATAAAAAATATATTAATTAACCTGTGCTCTAATACATAGGTTAGAAAATGCGAATTTCAATTAGATTAATAAAAAAATCTTAATTAATCCTAATAGAGCCAATTAAAGTTATAAATTAAATTTAATTGAAATTAATTAATAATGATTAACATAATCCAATTAAGTTAATTTATATTGTTAAATCCGAGAGCATTAATTTTTTAATTTGAATCTATTATTAATAGGATTTTTTAACATGTGTATATATGTTAAAAGTACTTTTTTTTTGTTATAAATACATAAAAAAATATAAAAACTAA